ATTTTCACTTCGTAACACACGTAAATCATTTCCGATTTATATGTTCGTTTCCCGTGATTCATATTTACTATTTTACAATATATAATTAATTTTTAATTGTAAATAATTTATAATATATATTATTTATTATTAATATTTTCTTATTTGTATTTTATATATATTATTATTATTATTATTTGTATGTATATTTATATATGTGTGTGTGTGTGTGTGTATATAATTTAATTAAAATATTAATTGTAAATAATTTACATGTATGGGGTCCTTCAATAGAAATGAGGACAAATCACATTCCTATGTGCAATTCATTGTAAGAATTAATTTTAGCATAGAAACCATACCACTTAACAAAATCTTGAGATATTCATAAAACATATACACAGTGAGTCTTGATTTAGTGGATCTTGATTTAATAATCTAATGGATTGAGTGATTGGGCCTAATAATAAATCCTTTTTACTTATAGATTCCTCCAAAGAATGGAAATATGAGGGTAGTTTTGAAGCCAAGACCCTTTTTCTAGAAAGTTACAAGGAATTAAGTTTCAAAAATTGTAGATATCTTCATAATATCTTTTAACATCCATCATCAACACTACCATTAAAGCTTGAAAATTCAATCAACCAATCATTATCCATTTAGACAAATCACATGACAAAACAATTGCATTTAATAACAACTTCTAGTTTTGAATTTTAAAATTTTTCTCAAAATTGGCATTGTGATGCAGAAAGTTCAGCAACTAAGTAAACTTGCACTATAGTACATTCCATTTATTCTATCCTTTTTTCTCTTGATTCTTTTCACAATCATTTTAGTAGCATAGGTTTATTAATTTTTTATGTGAAAAAAAAATTGGTGCATGTGGTACTGTACGTATAAACTCCTCCAAATTTCCAAAAGTTCTGAAAACTGATAAAAAATTAGAGTGGGATACACTTAGTAACAATATTGTCTACAATTCATGAGATTACTGGTCCAGAAAATAGAATATGTAAAGAATGTTGTCCAAGAGTTACAAGTACCAAACAGCAGTGAACACCATTATTGGTCAGAATTTGGGCATCGTTTTTTCTCAAGAGCATTACAAGAGTTTGTAGGTCTCAATTGGAGGGCGTAAGTCTAGAGTAAATTGTGGATATAACCTAACAACAACAACCATAACAATAATCATAATCATCATAATCATCATACTCAAAATATTATCATTGAAAAAAAATTTTTAAACATTCATGGAGACTTAGTCACTGCTCAAAATAATTTAATTTCATTAACCAACGACCTATTTCAATTCTATGATGCTACTTGTATACCATAGACCAGGGTTGGCAAATGCATGGTCCATTGGTGGTCTATTGTTGATCAATTGGTTCCATTATAGCCATATTTAGTAATTTATTAATGGCAATGGACCAGTCAATCTGCCAACCCTGACATAGACAAAGTGGTTGATGGAAAATCTGCGGACTTGTATTAAGGTTATTAGAATTCATGGTAAGTTCCATTTTGTAATTTTATGAATATCTTTTAGTTGATCCATTCTAAATTAATTCTATTATAGATGTTATTAAATCCGAAGCGAAAAATAACGTGACGGCAAAACATGATAATGATACCATCCAGATTTTGAAAAGAAAATTTGATGAAATCACTCAAACAAAACAATCTCCATTAAAAATTGCAAAGAGATAATCCTAGCTAGAGAATTTTAGATTATAAAAGTTGTAGAAAATCATTTTAAATATATTATTGAAATAATCATTCTTTTAAATTTTTTATTTCATCACCACCTCATCTATAAAAAAACTTTTCAATATTAGTTCGGATTAGGTACAATTTTTGGGTAGAAACATTAGAAATTAATTCACTTTTTACATACTCTTTTCACTTTTGTAATAGTAGAGAAAAATGATCATCTTCATGTCTGTCCTTAGTTCACCATATTTTTTTAATTCTTTGTTAATTATCATACTTGATTTACTTTCAGGTCTCTCCTTAGCAAAAAGATATAAATAAAGTATTTAAAATTCACATATTGCCGGTTAAGCATGCAATCTGAAATTGATTCGTTTTATTTAGTATTAATGATTTAGCGAATATTTTGATAAGATACAAGAATAAGTATTTCTTATGAAAAATGATAGAGTTGCAAGGGAGAGAACGTACGGCCCCTAAACCATTTGATGTATGCCCCTTTACTCTGGCTCTAACAGGTAAAAAATTATTTATAACTATTGTTATAATCTATTACTTTATCGCCACTATTATTACCACTACCATCATTATTGTCATTTTTAACTATATATAACTTTATTTATTTTTTTTACCCTTGAATCAATGAAAAAAAGAAAATGGCAGGGGAATATCTGTTAGAGAATTTTTATTTTATTTTATTTTACGTTGTAATTAAAAAATTTTTGAATTTACATAAATTTTGGAGTATTTAAAATCCACATTCCATAAAATTTTTTCACATATGAACTTCAAATTCACATAATTTCGATTTCATGCACAACAGTCAGTACAATTGCACATAAAATGATCCACATTTTTAGTGTATCATGCTACGCGCCGGGAAAACTCTGTTGAATGTCACCGCCAACACTATGATTCGAAAGTACTTTAAAAAAGAGGAAAGGTGACCGCGACACTATAATTCGGGCCAATAGAGAATTACATTTAAATCAAATAAGGAAAAAAAATCACGCCATAGGGGTTACCGACTAGCCAATTTTTGGTTAATTATTGTAAATTATTTCCTAAACAGAAAAAATCAACCAATCAACTTTCGAGATTCGCGTTAATATGATCAGGCACTTAATTTGGCGGTGACATTCAATAGTAATAGAGTTTTTCCGGTCATGCCCACACCCTGAATTTCCAACACTATAAAAGAGTCGTCTATACATATTTCATACATGAAAATTTTATTTAATGCTCAATACCCTCACCAATCAAAATTTGAGTGTACACAAATTAGGTACAAAAATAACAGAGTTAAAATTTAATTTACATATTGACTAAAAATAAATATATTAATATACAGTATATAAATTATAAATTATACATTTTATAAAAACAATAAAATTTGTAAATCTTCATATTTTTTTAATATGTCTCCTATTCCATCTTCTAGCAAAGATCTATTATATCCATGTAACTCTATTGTAAAAGGTTTAGGTCCCTTCCAATTATTCATTAGAATATCTAAACAATTGTCATTAGAAATAGTAACTTTACAAATAAAAACTATTGAATTTAATTTTTTTGGTAATATTTGATTTAATACTGAAAATATTGCATCACCATGTATTTCGTACAAATAAGTTGTTCTAAATACAAATTTTTTTAATTTAAAGCAATTTTTAAATACTTCCATCAACTCTTGGTTTAATCCATCATCATAATGTATTGATAAATTTTCTAGATTTTTACAACATTGTGCAATTGATTGAAATAGCTTTCTCAAAAATTCACTATCAGATGGAAAGCCATTAACGTCCAGATCCTTAAGAGTTCCTCCATTGACAATAATAAAACTAGACAAGTCTGATAAAAATGAAAGATGACAAATATGTAAATAAATAGATTCAATATTTTTCATTGAAGTATTTTTCAAAAACTTTATTTTGTTAATGTTGCTAGTAGAAGTGGTATTAACAAAACCAGCAAAACCAGCAGTAGCAACAGCAGTTAATGATAAAGTTTTTAAGTTTTTAAATGCTGGTAATAATATGTGATCTAAATTATTATCTCCAATGCTTGAATAATAAATTATTGATTGTGAATGTGCAAGTATTGCATTTTTGAAGTTATCTGATAAAACTTGATTAGTGTGTGAATTAATAGTTAATTGCTTGATTTGATTTTGTGATTTAATTAATTGAGTCAGACTATAATCAATCTTTTCTTTATATTTATTATTATGATCACATTCTATTCTTAATGATTGAATATATTTGCAAACATATGCCAACTTATCAATAAATTCAGAACCATTGGTAAATTTACAATCTAATTTATTAAGATTCTGAAAACAATCATCAAATCTGTGATAACGATTTACCCAATAACTATCTATATTAATAGTACTAAGCTCTTTAATAGCTGCTGAATGATCTAAAATAAATTTTACTAATCTCTTTTGTAAAATTTTTAATCCCTCATTATTTACAAGCATTTTAAAAGCATGAAATCTATTGATAAAATCCAATCTAGTACAAAATCTGGCATAATTATGCAATAGTGGTTTTTCTAATGGCTGAAAGGGCAAAATAATGTCATTTCTAATTAAGAAATCCTTATCTTCCTCTTTCAATAGACAATTGATTATTATTTTGGTGCTATGAACAGAATAAAATGGATTTCTCCATAAAACGGGAATAATAATATTGTGCCATCGTTTATTGACAAGAATGCAAGAATTTAATGTTTTATAATCATCCTCAACATATTTAATTACTTCAGCTAAAAGCTCAAATGGTAAATGTATTCTTAACATTTCCTTTTTTTTTGAGGCTAAGAAAAATTTTACTTGTTGCACAATAAAAATTTATTTCCCAACCAATAAAATTTTACAGAAATTGAAAAAGTTTAAATAAATAACAGTAATTTTAATATAATTAACTCAGTCACGGAAAATAAATTGCTTTATTATTTAAGTGAGAGTATGGGTTCTAAGCTAAAAACAATCCCTGTGACGAATTGCTATTAACTCAAAATCACGAGTTTTGGAGTTGAGTACATTTTATTTTCCGCATCCTAATTATTCAAGAATTACAACAGCGGGTAAAAATGTTGGCATTCAGAAAGAATAAATACGTCAAAGTTTATTCAGTCTCTTTATATAACAGTTTTAACTGCATCATAGGCATCATAGACAATGTTCGTGGTCATTACTTGGTAAGAAAATAGACAAGTGGTGCAAAAGTTTGAATTTCAATTTTAAATGAAATTTCAGTATTTGCTTCAATTTTTGCATGCATATATTCGCGAATTACGGATAGCCAATTATATTTACAGAATTACAGTGTAAGTTATTACCACGTACGTATTAGATAATCAATCATTTGTGGGTTTACGACTACATTGCAGTGGTAGTAGTAATATGTAATTATTTACGAGTTTTGTAAATTGTATTTTCGGAACAAACTATAACTGCAAAAAATTTGGTAATGTTTTATCCTATCATAATATATTTTATCCCCAGCATAAGTTGTTCTAAATGTAATATTTTTTTTTAATTTAGTTCAATTATTGAATATTTCCTGGCTTTATTCTAAAATGATTGAAACAGCTTTCCCAGAAATTTACCATCATATGGAATACCACCAACTTTCAAGTTTTTCATTGGTTTAATAAAATCAGACAAGCTGGTATAATGGATGATGATAGTAATAAATAACTTCTCTGATTAAACATTTGATGGTAAAACTAGTATGCGTCGAGACTAGTTGATGTCTGATAAATTCTTTAAATTTTAAGCAATTTTCGCCTGAATAATAGATCATGCGTGAGCATTTTTTTTTTTTGAATTCATCTGTTTAAATGATGTCTTCGTTGCTTTTGTGCTTTAATGATATATTATTTTTACCGCCACTGCCAACGTTTATCCGGGGCCGGTAAATGCTCTCAGAATAAAGTAGATTAGAAGGTTTTAATTTAGATCATTTAACACCTACATTGATTTGTGATCGTCCTGATTTATTTAATATGTTCAATCATTAAAGATAAATTATAAATTATAGCAGTATTGGTAATTAAAAATTTTGGGAATAGAAAGGACCTCTTCATAAAGTTGGAATATTGATATTAAGCCGTTGTTTATCTGCAAGGATACAAGGATTTGACATTTTCTTCAATATACGTGGTAAACCATTTTTTCTTAAAAAAAAAAAATAATATTTTTTATAGATTGTGGTAAAGCTTACAATTATTGGGAGAGCTATTGTAAATCAAACAAAAGTTGTGTAATTATTTTTATGATCAAGCTGAATTAATTGTCTTGGCATTTGATTATAATTCAATGTTTTGAATTCAAGATGAAATCTTCGATTTTTACATGTTAGAATCAGAAATCAGTAGAAAACTAATATTTAATTTAAAACATGCTAATTTAGTCACTCGCCTAGAAGAATTATCAGTAGGTTTAATGCTCCAAGTTGAAGACTTTGTGAACCACCTACGGATGAATAGAACTGCAGGCATTGAATTCTCCTACGAGGAATAGAATCAGTTATATACTATAAAGAAAGAAAGGTCCCCGAGTATATTTCATGTGCAAATATTAATTTTATTAATAAATTCAAAAATCCCAAACTACATCAAGACCATTTTCTTAATGTGGCATTATTTCCAAATGATAATATGTAAAATTAAAAATATATAGACATCTTTTTCATCAGTGGAGAATATCCATCCCTAATAAATTTTAATCTTGGACCTTTTCATTTCTTCATTAAGCGTTCTCGTTGGAAAGTTATTTATTCGAATTTTCCAGTAGCGTTTGACCTAAAGCTGCTAAAATTCCATCTCCATTAAATCTATATAATCAGAATATCTGTAATTGATATTAGTTTAATGCAATCATTAAATAGTTTAGTTGATATTATCATTGTAAATATTTTATATTGAACACTTTCCTTCAATTGACTGGGACGGATTTCCTAAACATTTGTGATTTTCTGGTTCGTCCTTAAAAAATTTTTATATGAGATAAAAATTTAAGTTTTACATGTTTTAATAAGGATACATATAATTTTTTGTATATCATCACATATATATTCCAACCCACTCTTCTCAACAGCAACAGGATTTATAAGACCCAAAGGATAATCTGGTAAATACTTTTTTCTACAATTTGAAGCTAATTCCTCCAATTCTGATTTCACCACATCACATTCTTGTTGGAAGCTTCCTCCTGATTTTTTAAAATGTACTTTTTATTTGACTTTTTAACATTAGCCTACAATTAACTTGTTGGTTTTTCTTTTTTTTTTTTTTTTTCTGAAATACCATAATATTGAAGTCAAGCTATCTGATTCATTATCATTTTTCAATTCATCAAAAATGCATCATCAAAAATTTCAACAATCAAAAATTATCTGATTATTATCGTTCTCGCTATATATATAATTTTCGATTCCAATTTATCAGTAGTCTTTTTTGAAACAAGATTTGAATGAAGTAGATACGCGTTTTCTCAAATTTTTAATTTTGATTGTTCTTTCTAAAATATTATTTTATCTGAAACATTGTCTGTATTTTATTTTAACGTACACTATATTAATATACAATGTTTAAATCTGACATTCAGAAAAACGACGACCTTTTTTTTCGGAAGAGTTAAAATTTTTAAATATAATAATAATAATAAAGGGAATTTTAAGGCACTATTTCCAGTCGTCATATCATATTTGAACAAAGAACTTGACTTACATGATCTACCAGCTGCACCTCTGTTCGAGTCCTTCTCTCCCCCGTGTAAGAATCAGTAAAACAAAAGAAGACCAACAAACGTTCAGGAAACTTTGAAATTAACGGTGTACGTAACAATTCCCACTGCGGGTACACTTTTTCTTCGAAGGTTCATAAGTCCCAAGGCCCATTGCGAATATGACAATAGATGAAAATAGATCTATGTTGTAATAAGCAGAGCCCCTTATTGGAATTCGCTGGGTCCCTTTTCGTTTGATTTTAGTTTCTTGAAGATGAGGACGCCGTAGCTAAATACAGAAGGTTGAATTCTTTACAGCAGAATTGCCTGAAAGAAATATCTCTACATTGGCAGTAATAATAAATCATGCAACACGATGTACATTTATATCACTAATCATATCTGATTGTAAAGGATCACGAAGAATAACCAAAAAATAACTTGAGTTACTATAAATATTTTTCCCTAATTCCACACAATTTGAAAATGAAATTCAATATTTTCTTTTCTAGATTATTTCTCTGCTGTAACTTTAGCAAACCCAATTGATGATTTTAACCAATTTGACCATAATTTGAAGAAACATGAGGATTTCGTTTATTATTACTATTACAATAATAATATCATTACAGTCAATATCATTCATTGTTTTCTCAAAAATATTAACTGTTGATATTTAAATAATAAATAAGCCAACATTATTATTATTATTATTATTATTATTATTATTATTATTATTATTATTATTATTATTATTATTACAATCGATATTATCCCATGAAAAAATATTAAGATTTTATTTTATTTAAATAGTAAATATCTTTCTTATATTTGATTCTTCATTTTCTGATAGCTTCATTTATTACTTTAAGTTTTGGGTAATATAAACTGAACTCTTTTATTTACATTTATTTATTTCACTATCCCAATTCTATTGCTGATTCAATAAGCAATGTTTTTTTTATGTTATTGATTTTTATGTTGCGTAAAATTCATGCAAACTATAGTAAGTAATATAAGTAAAACAAACATTATTTATTATTAAGATATTAAAATTTACGATTCATGAATTCTAAATAAAGGAAAATGTATTATTTATAAAACAAATCTCAGAGACGTATTTATCTATTTTTTTTTTTTTTTCAAGTATCTTGTCAATTTTTAGCTAGAGTTTCTATTCGTAATAATACAAATTATTCTTTTTATTCGTTTTGTTCGTTTTATTCGAATACCCAAATTCATAACGAATAAAAACAAACAATTCTTATTCGAATACTCAAATTCATAACGAATAAAACAAATAATTCTTATTCGAATAGAAACCCTGTCATAACTGTTTGCGAGTGAAAAAAAAAAGAAATTATTATTATTATCACTACAAGAGAAAAAAAACAATTACTATTAATTGCCTAAAGAAAATAAAGCAAAAGATGTCAATTACTTCTGCTACTACTACTATTATTATTATCACTACAAGGACTACGAGGGAAAAGATTATTAATATTATTCGTTTTAATCGAAGTTTCAACTGCTTGATTTTTGTGATGATGATTAAATTTATTTTGTTTGAGAAAAGGAATATTATCTATTTCATTATTTTCAGCATACATTAAAAGATTTTTGGACATGTATATATATCATCAGAAATTTACAAGCGAGGAACATTTCTTTTAATTTTTCAATTATTTTTAAATAAAGTCTTTTACCACCCCTCTTTTTTGAATATATTGGAAATTTGGAACAGTCTAGTGTTTTAAAAAGAATTTCTAAATGGAATTCGATCAAAAAAAAATTTATATCTTAATAGCGAACTATTATTAGGAGAGCGCCATAAATCACTGATTTGGAGTGGGCAGTATGCCAAGAGAATCGCATCTTTATTTTTTAAATTGTAATTAATATTTTTTTGGTAAACAAGAATTTGTCATTCCATGAAAACTGACTATTGCGTTGTATATTAATTAACTTTAATGTTAATATGAATGATCATTAGTAGAAATTAACATGAGAAGTAATTCTCAACTTTTTAAATGTTAATATTAATGCTGAGTTGGAATCAAGCGTTTTATCAATTTGAATTTTTTGGGAAGGAATTATCTATTTTTGGAAGATGTTAATTAATTAATAATTACTTCCAAAATGCTAACCAATCTGTTTGTTTTCTAACAAGTCTGTCCATAGTCAATCTCATCCTATGATGAAGGTTTTTTTGTTACTATTTAAAATTAACAAATAGAAACTGAAAAAATAATTACAACGATTATTCAATAGGAATTTTTTTATTTGTATGAAAAGTATTCTTTTTAAAGATTTTTTTGTTGTTAATAATTCTGTCACAACCTATGTTCTCAATATTTTAACAAGTCCTCAGACTATTGGATACGAACAAAAGTACAAGTTATTTCTTTTCCATAGAGAATTTCTAAATTATTTTGGATTTTTCGACAAAATAATTCTGAAAAATTTAGTTTACTATATATAGAAAAAAAAAATTATAAGGATTTTCCTGTTACTATTATTATAATAAAACCGGAAAAGAGTTTCCTGAATTTGTAGATCTCGTACAAAACCAATATTTCGCAACTTTCCGTTTTTTAAAATTCCTTATTATAGTATTAGTATGTTCTCTGGAAATTTCTTTTAAATCCCGTACAATAATAAATAGTAACGTAAAATGAGTTGGGTTAGTGAAAGTACATTCCCTTTCGACTAAACTAATAAAACTCTTGAAAGATGCCGAATTACCGATATTACAAATCAAAAAACCAAGTAGGAGTAGGAAATAAGGAGATTGGGACTTCAACGAAGGAATGCGAAGATAAAGAATTGGCAAAATTCCTTGATGATTGTAAAAAGAACGGGAACAAGATTAAATGGATTCCGCGCGAAGAAATTTGTAATGAGAAACGATTGACTGAAGGAGGATCTGGAATCATATATACTGCCGATTGGTTCACTAGATATCGTCGCAGACAAGTTGTACTGAAAAGCATTTATCCTCCAGAAAATGTTATTCCAACAGTAAATAAATTCCTTAAATTAATATTTGTTGATTAATTTAATCAATTGCTAATTATTAAATTATTGAATATTAGCTAGAAGCACATAAAAGCATTCACAATGTGAATAAATCTCGCGACCATTTCATTAACAAGTGTTACGGAATTACAAGAGACGAAAAAAAAAATTACGTGATAGTACTTAAATACGCAAAAGAAGGCGATTTACATAATTATTTGTTAAAGAATTTTGATAAAATTTCCTGGAAAGATAAATTAGAATCACTTTTGAATATTTCAATTAGGTAAGACAAATAAATTTTGTGATTTCTTTAAAAATTATATATTCCGCTCGCAAAGACAATATTCCTTATTGTATTTTTATTTTTCGTCAGGTTAAATAAAATTCATTCTAAAAATTTTGTGCATCATGATTTGCATAGCCATAGTATTTTGATAGATGAGAAAAAGACAATAGCAGGTTTAGGATTATGCGAGCCGGTTAAAGAGAATAATTACAACAATGAGGCTTATGGTGTCATTCCATATTTGGCACCTGAAATATTAGCTGGCAAACCATATACAAAAGAATCCGATGTATATAGCTTTGGGATGATAATGTGGGTATATACTACTGGTACAGAGCCATTTCATGGTAGATCACATGATATTGGTCTTACTGTGGAAATTTTGGAAGGAAAAAGGCCACTTATCACCAACGATACACCAACACTTTATGCTGATCTGATGCAACGTTGCTGGAAGCACAATCCCACAGAAAGACCAACTGCAGATCAAATTGAAAATTGTTTGCGTAAAATAATAAGAAATCAAAAAGAAAACTAAGATTTGGCAGCAATGATCAAGAAGATTTGATGGGTGATCAACAATTGTCAGCCGTTTTGTTATGATTTTATGATTTTATTATTCTTAATTTATTAGAGTTGAAGAGATTACATTACACTTACATTCCAATGCATTAAACATTTCGAATGCTTTTTTGAAAATGTTACCATATTATTATATAGATATATTCATGCTATTCAATAAATTTTTTTTTAAAATATGAAAAGAAATCGATATAAAGTATTAATTTCCATTTTATTCTATGAAATTAAGACAAACTGTGATATGTCTTCGATAAAGCACCATTTAAGTTAGTTTTCCATGTTTAATTAGTTTAACTCTTCCAACCAATTAAATTGCCCTATTCTTCTAATTAATTAACAAAACCAGACAAAGTGAACGATATTAACTTATAATGTCATTCGTCCATTTTTGTTTTAATTATTATTAATGCCTCTATATAATCTTGATAGATTCTTTTCCATAAAGGAAAGGATAAACAAAAATTTCACATTCAAACAAAATTCTATTAATTCACTATTTTGAAATAAATAAATAATAACCTGTGCTTGGTTGATGAGTTATTATAAAAACATCGCCAATAAAAATCAAACTGTGTCGTTTTATTGAAATAACTGGCACAATAGAGCCTAAAGAATATTGGAATCTAACGATTTTTTATGGAGAAAAAAAAGGAGTTACCAATTCACTATACAAAACTTCTATCAACCCTATAAAAAACAGTAGAAAGCGATTTAGGAATGTTTTAATAAGGAAAAGAATAAAGAGAATGAAGAAGGCGAGGGCAAAGTATTAATAAAAATAATGATAGATTTGCGCCAGAGTGAAATAAAAAAGTAATACTTGCACAATTCATTAATAAATTCATAATAAATGTAATTAATGACAACGATTGTTATAGATTTGAATCAGTTCGAATCAAATTATATATTCGATCGAATTAGTTCGAATCAAATTATATATTCGATCGAATTAGTTCGAATCAAATTATATATTCGAATTAGTTCGAATCGAATCGAATCAAATCAAAATACAATTCGAATGAAACGAATCAAAAATTAGGTGTTTCGGTTCGAATTCATTGACTCGTTCGAAGCCTTATCTTGTAGTTCCTCTATTTTAAGTTCTTCATTTGAATCATTTGAATCGATCAAAGGAAATTTGATTGAAATCCAAGTTGTGCTAATTGCTGATGATAAGGATCAATAAATTACTATTGTGAATTATTATATTACTACTACCAACCACTACCACCAATAATTAATACTATTAAATTTATTCAGATCAAATCCCCAAGGCTCACAAATAGTCGGTCTCTTAGCCGACATCATTTGTGTACAATCATCAGGAATCTCTGGTAATATTGATAGTCATAGACCTAAGAAATAATATTTAATTAGATGATGTTTTAATAAAATTATTCTGTGTTGAAAAAGTTAATTTATAATAATACTTACTCACTGTTAAAAATAAATTTATTTAATTAGATGATGTTTTAATAAAAATTATTCTGTTTGAAAAAGTTAATTTACAGCATGATACGGATGCTAACATATATTAGCTAAATATCATTTTAATAGAAGCGCTCGGACATTATTATTATTGCCGATTTTACTATGGAATATTACATAACCAAAAAATTCAGCGAGTATGTATCGATATCTTTGAACCGAAAAACCAAGTCATATAATGGATTATACAAACAACCGTAATACTCTTCCAGCTTCTAATCTTTCCTTCCAAGGTGAAATAATATAATTTTTTATTAAATTTAAAAACTATCTACAAATACTTAAATATATTTTTACACTGTATTATATTAATATTACTTACATGCACAAATTAAAACATAGATGGAGCACCTATACCTGTAACTAGAATGTGTCCAGGAGTAGAAAATGGTGGTGTTGGCGATATTGTTAATGGTATGGGAATGGGTGGCATTAATAACAGTAATAATGGATTTGAATCAAATTTAGGATATGTTGGTGAAGGTGGTGGTAGGTATGTTTATCAACAACAACAACAGCCTATTAATAATAATCCACTACTGTCAACAGATAATGTGTATTATTTACAACCACATCAACAACATCAACAGCACCAACAATTACCAATTCAGCATAGTAAGTATTATACTATAAATTAATTTTTACAGCACAAATATATTTTATTAAAACATCATCTAATTTATAATAACCAGATCGTAAGTATTATACTATAAATTAACTTCTACAACACAAAATAATTTTATTAAAACATCATCTAATTAAACAAATTTATTTAAGTTTGGTTGACTTATTCTTTGCTAAATGGTGACTATAATACCTATTCCGTTTCTCTTTAATCTACTGCATTCTTCACATCAAGGAAGAACATTGTTATCATAATCTATCCTACAATCTTTACAAAAAAGACTATGTCAGCATTACTACCATCTTCCTCTAATGCTGCCATTTGATGAGTAGCAGGAGCAGTATTGAAGTTAAGAAGAGTTGGATCATTGTAATCCAAATAACAATAGTTGCATTCCTGTTTATCTCCCTTTGCTAATTCTAAAATTATAGAAAATGTCCACAAAAAATTCCCATGACATATTTAAATAAAACGCGATATATCTTTTATTATTCCTTTATAAAATCATATAGAATATATTGCTGAGAACTATATTTTTAACTGTATGTAAAAAAAACTAAAAGTTAGTATAGTTGGCTCAGTCTAAAGACCTCCTAAATTTTGGGCAAATTTTAAAAGTATAGAAGTCATTTTCTGTCCTATCTTTTAAAAAAATAGCATTATTAGTTGATAGAATAGGTCTTTAGTTTTAATGTAATAATGAGATATTCTCAAAATTTATTTGTTGTAGAGTTCTATTATGTACTTTACTATGCTCGCGGGGAATTTGTCCACTATGATCATTTCTAAATTTAGGAAAATTATTACTAAATTTAGACTAGATCTTGGCTATCGTATCTAAATTTGGCAGTAAGAAATAGTTTTTTAAAACTAAAATCACGTGAAGTCCTATTTTTTAAAAAATTTTATTACATTTTTGAATGAATTACAAAATTGCTATTTTTGAAATTTGTCCACATGGCACAGCAATAGGAGGACTTTAGACCGAGCCAACCATATTAAAAAATAAAGACTTATATTATTAACAAAGTTCAAACTCCTGGCGAATTCCTAGTAAAGTTAGCGAATTCCCTAGTGAAAATTTGTAAATGACTGTTAAAGTTTATTTTAAACCACATAACTTCCATAAAAACATAGATATCTGTGTTAAATGTAAGGTTTCTGGTCAAAACTGCTTCTATTAGTAGCCGAAATTGCCCAAATACTTTGGGCAAAAAATTTTTTTTTATAAGCCCAAACTACTTTTTGTTAATAGCTGAAATTGGGCGAAATTATTTTAAAGTTGTTTAAGTTAAAACAAGTTGATTCATATAGTTTTTTAATGTTCATGCTTATAGAAAATGTTGAGAAGCCCAAATTGCCCAAACTAGTTTGGGCTTTGAGAAAACAGTTTGGACCAGAAACCTTAGTTAAATGCAATAATATTTATTACTTAAAGTCACAAGTGTTTAATGTTAACTACATGTTTATGATCTATGAAATGAGATTAATAATACTAAAAAAAAAAAGAGGTAAGCAAATAAATATATATTTTGCATTTTTTATTTAGGATACAAACAATACATGCAAACTCGCAATTCTTTAGAAAATTTAAAAGAGCAAATAGTGGATACATGCTTCATGACATACAAGGTTCTAAAAATCCATATTATCATGCTATTACAACGAAAGGAGATTGTATCAGCTGGTAATTAATATTAATATATTTCCATTAATGGAAACTATTAAATTAAATAGAATAATTCACCTTTTCATAATAGGTGACCTTGTGCAAGAAACAGAAGAGATCATAATCCTGTAAAACCCCCACCATAATGTTTAACTAATTATAACACAAGGAAGAGAATTGTAAGTACTTTGATTTTATAAAATTAAAGCTAATAATAATAACACAAACAATTTTTGTAAGTAATTGAGGAATGGGTGTAGGTTCTGAAATAGATAGAAGGCAAGCCTATCTGGCTAAATGAAGAGAAAAAATATTAAGGATACCAGCAGCAACTTTTGATGATGTTTGCTACCACCTTTGCATCATATAAAAATGATTGCAACCACCTTTACGACCATTTTGTTTCCTTTTTTGGATTGCAACATGGAATACTAAAAATATTTGAAGCTGTGGAGAGCAATATACTTATAGGAAATATAGTCCACTCTCTCTATCTTTATATATGTCCCATACAATATTAATATTAATAAGTTATTATGGATCCTCTATATATAATAGACATTTTTTCCTTATGGAAATACATTACAAACAAACCTTCATGTACTTGGTGTCATGTCATTGTTATTCTTGACAAAAATAAATATTTTTATTATTGTTATATTGTAATGCAGATCATTAATTTTTGTGGACATTTTCTATACAGTCAACCCTCCATAAGTGCACCCTCCATAAGTGCACCCCCTCCATAAGTGCACCCTATGTCTCATTCCCAA